CATCACGGTGACCGAAGCCAATATGTCGTATGCATATGACAAACCGTCTCAGGAGGGACGTCACAGACAAGGAGAAAGAGAAACCTCCTTCTTCTATTCTGCTGATCCTTGGGCACATCCAAGGTCAAAGAAAATGAACAGGGTAGCAGAAGGCTCTGTAAAACCTGCCTCCCTGGACCACGGTGGAGGGAGGGGGTGGGAACAGGCTGGGGACAGGCTGTGCCGGAGCAGCGAAGGGTCTCGGCTGAGGGTGTAGAGAGGCCCATGGGAGCCTTGACATTCTGACAAAACGTGCCGCCCTACCCTGAGACCTCCCCATTGGGAGTGACTGTGTCTGGGCTCAAAGACTCAGAGTTCATCAGAGAGAAGGAGGCATCTCCGTGTGTTTTCTCAACCCAGGAAGAGCTTCAGAAAAGGCCAGTGCACCGTTCTACCAGCCTCGTGAAGGGAACACCAAGTCTCCATGAGTCTCTCTTACATGTAACACGGCCTGGGCTTACGGCATCCCACAGAATCAGGAGACACTAGCAAAGGGAGGAGCGGTGGAGGGTGAACACTTCTTTGCGCTTTTTTTCAGGAGACGAGGGGTCTGGTGTCACTGCCTCGTCTCCTTTTGAGGAAGCCCTTCCTTCTGCCAAGGTGAGGAGCTTCCCAAGTTGCAGCTCGTTGTTTACAAAGAAAAAAAGCACAATTCGAATAAACGGACTGCCCCCAACACAAAAGTCTAGACAAACTCTTAAGGAAAGTGCTAGAACCAATGTCACATTCCTTTCGGCACGTTCCACTCTGCAGCGATTGTGTCTGGCGTCCTTCGTCCTTCCTTCAAGAACCTGAATTCCCTCTGGTCACACCCCAGCTGTTAGATGAGGTAACACCAGCTGTGGTTCCCCTACACCACTGTCAAGTGGCCTAACACACAGCTTCTCGTCCATATGACAAGGGCACTGTGGTGAGTCGGGAAGATGTCCTTCGAGTGTCACATTGTCTTGGGCTTCCTCACTCTCCTTTGCCAGTGTAGGAACAGGACGTCAAAAGGAACACCAGAAGCCCCTGGTGCTTATATACAATAACAGACTCTCTTTATTGAGCACTTACTTTGTGCCAGGTACCATGATAAACACTTGACATGTACTAGCCTATTATAAGCATCCCAACAGGCCATTTTGCAAGGGAGGGAAGGAAGGCCAAAATGGTCACCCAAGGTCACCAGCTATCAGATGGAAGAACACGAAATTAAACCCAGTGCCCATAACCCCCAAAGCCTTGGTTTTAAAACAATGTATTAACTGAACCCCTGAGGACTCCTGTCTTCATCAATTGATGTCCTCATCAATTTCTCTCTTCCCTAAAATCATTTGAACACTTAAAATGTACATCCAATCACTGCTGATTTATCCAGACAATAACGTATCGCCTGCTGATAGATTCAAAAGTGTGTCAAAGTCCATCTGACTCCAGAGGCAGCATCTTTTGCATCGTTGTGCTCTTTGGGTGAGCAGTCTGAGGCTGGGCACAGGGGATGGGCTCAAGTGTTGCCTGAGTGAATGATAATGGAGGTGACAGTAATAAAGAGGGACTTGTAGAACAGGGGTGTCTGTATGTGTGTTCACCAGTTATCCCACAGAATCTGAGTTAAAAGAAATCTCAGGAAGAGTTTTGTCCAAGATTTATCTGATGCCTATGTCCTTTCATATTGATCCTTCATAGTGTACTCAGAGATACAGGAAAAATATGGACAGACGAAAGTCTGCATTAGTCAGAATCTAAGGCAACAGGATGGGGTAAAAGCCACACAATGTCGTAGGATTATTCTAGAATGAAAAAAAAATTAAAAAAGAAGTTGGGAATCACTGCATAAACACTTCAGGGCTTAATTAGGGCTTGGGTCCACCCATTCCCTGGTGGGGAACACTTCGCCAGCTGTCCTAAGATGGGATTTAGATCCGTTTCTGCAGACCATGGTCACTAACAAGTGTAGATGCCCACGGCCCAGGCTTGGGCTCTAGTCATTATGAGTTGTATCTGATGAGCTCTATGGGTTGTTCAGTACCTTTCAAACTTGACAGATTTCTTTCTCTTTTTTAATGTTTATTCATTTTTGATAGATAGAGAAGGACAGAGCGTGAATGGGAGGGGGGCAGAGAGGGAGACACAGAATCCAAAGCAGGCTTTGGGATCTGAGCTGCCAGCACAGAGCCCGATGTGGAGCTCAAACCTACCAACTCTGAGACCATGACCTGAGTCACCCAGGCACCCCTCAAACTTTGCAGATTTCTGCCTCCTATCTCCAGAGTAGACCGAATAGATCTGAGTAGGACCTACGAATTCACATTTCTAACATTCCCAGGAGACACTGATGCTGCTGATTCTGGAACACTCTTTGAGAGCCACTGCCCTACCTGAATCTTGTTTCATTTACTTGCTTTCCTGCAGCCGCGTGAACTCTGACGGCTACATCAGTGAAGACACTGGTGAGAAACTACCTTGTAGTAAACCCTCTGTTTTTCTGTGCTTCTCAAGTCCCTGTCTGGCCTTCCTCTTGGACCCAAAGCCAATGGGCTCAGCTGCCCATCCACATCCACACTGTCCACCAAAAACTCCAAACTCAACATGCCCCCTCATCCATTATCTAGATCTCTCGTCTGAGCCTCTACCTCTGGCTGTGCTATATCACCATCCATGCAGGTTAGAAAGCCCCAAGTCGTCTTTGACTTCGACTTTGCTTCCTGTATGTGACATCATTTAACTCTAGAATTTAAGCTCCCCAGAGGCAGATGCCTTGGAGTATTTTGTTCACCACTGTAGCCCCAGCACTTAGAATGATGACGGGAACGATGTAGGTATGGGGTGAGTAAATGAAGGAATGAATTCTCTGAAGCCCCGCCCGAATTTGTGCTTCAGTTCATGCCTTCATGTCTCAACGGAGGACCGCAGTAGCCTCCTGCCCAGCCGCCCCCATCGGCAAAGCCACCCCAACTCCACTCCACCCGCATTCCTTCTCTGTTGGAAGCACAAACTGAGAAGGCTCATAACTGTGTTTACAAACTTCTGATCAGACCCCCTTTAACAATCAGATGATATCCAAGGAAGATACGCCAACCCCTTCACACACCAGCATCAGTCTTGCCATCGGCACCAGCACCGGGAATCTCAGGTCCCCAAAGGACCCTACGTTCCAGCCCCTCCTCCCATGCAGGGTGACAACCCTACCTCTGTATCCCTGTGCACACCAAACTATGCCATTCTTTCTAACAACTTACTCATCTACCTTTCATTGTCTGAAAATGACCTCTTCCGCCAAGACCCAGCTGCAATGTCACGTTCATTGCGAAGTGCTTTCCATCTAGTCCCCTGAGTCCCCTGTCCGCATATACAGACACCCCCCACCCCCCAAGGGGAATTACGGATCCTACAGCTGGGATCCTAGCACCTTTTGTCTCCACTGAGACACATGCACGGATTCGATTTTTCTGTAATTATTCTGTTCCAGGAGTTTCCTCTCCATTGAGGAACCTGAGCATCTGTAACCCAGAGGTCTGTTTACCTTCCTCTCATTCTCCCTAGTATCTAACCCGGTGTGACAGACAGGCCCTCAAACGTCTGAACTCGCCTCAATTTAATTCAGTTAGCATCAATCAGACAGCAAGGAATAAACCAAAGGCTCCGGCCTTAGCCGGGACTAATTCTCTGAGGTCTTCGCCAGCCCCGGCCAAACTAAAAACTAAAGTAATTACTTGGGCAGATAATTCATGAAAGAAGGAAAAGCATTTGCATTTGAATGATCGAGCCAGGATTTTCTGCTTGTTGATGTTTCTGGAATTTTTCAGATAATGCCTTCAATTCTTTGATTCTTTCATGGTGTGGGGAGTAGGCCAGAAAGTTAATCTATCAATCACTCTCCCATCTGAAACCTGGCAACCTTCAACCGGTTTTTTGCCGAAACAGAGACAAAATTCAATAGGAACCAAGCTTCAAATGCCATCACGCGGAGTTTGAAGGGCCTGCAAGGTTCAGACGCCGCAGCCCAGAGAGCTCCTGAAGACTTCTCCAGAAGCCCCCGCGGTCACTCCTGCCACTTAAACGGACTCACATCTGCCTACCTTGCATTCATGCCCTTAGAATTCTCACGGGTGGGGCAAGACGGACAGACCGGCGGCAGAATGCAGTGATCGCCGGCGCCCAGCGTGCTCTGAGTCCATGGGGCAAAACCCTAACCGGACTCGGGGGCGCTGAGAGCCAGAAAGGAAGCACAGGACAGGTGGCACGTCTGTCTGTGAGTGCAGGTATGGGGGCGAGGAGAAGGTAATCTCGGTCCCCCCAAAATCAACAACATGACGCTCCCTTTGAAGAAACACGGGGGAGCACGCATGCACGTGCACACCCGCACACCCGCGCAGACGCGCACAAATCCCCAGCACCTGCTTCTTGGAAGCCCGGCCCCCGAGGCTGGCCCGGAGGCTCGGCCCCACCAGAAGCGACGGGCGGATTTACCGTGGCCTTACTTTTAATTAAGTCCGCGGCGCGGGCAGGGGCGGGGGGAGGGGGCGCGGGGTGGGCCCTAATCCCGGGCCCGCCTGACGTCACCTGGGAACGGGCGGCGCGGGCTGCGGGGACGGCGACGACCTCGCCGCGACCCGGGCGCGCCTCCGCCGGAGAGGGGCTTTGCTCCGCGGGAATTAAGGGCAGGAGAAATGTTAGTACACTTTTAATTGGAAACCGAGTTCTTCTTTCAGGGCGGCTTGTTTACTCAGGATCGGGCATTAGAACTCAGGGGAGGCTCTAATTGAAGTGACGGCTTTGGAGATTATGGGGAACATATGGCCCCGCCGCCGGGCTCTTTAGCTGCATTTTCTCATCAACCTGCCGGCCGGCCGGGGGTGCTGCGGCGCCCGCCCTCGGCCGGCTCCAAAGGGCCTTTGAAGAGCGGGCGGGCTGCGTCCGGGCTCCTGGCACCGAGTGCCCCAAACAAAGGCAATCGCACCGCTGGGCACCTAGTTGGGCTCTAACTCAGACTGTTGGGAGCTACGGGCGGGAGACAGTTGCCAGGGTAATGGGGCGATTCCCACTCGCTGCCTCCTTGGGCCCGGCCCGACCAAGCTCCCGCGTGGAAACGGGGGTCTTGGGGCAGAATTACATTTCTCTCCCATCTACCGATCATCACTCAGCCAACCCACCCACCCACCATCGTTCTACACACCCTGGCAGGCTCCGGCACCGACGCCATCTGTTGATTCGCCTCCCAGCGGATTCTCTCTCTATCTAGAGCTGCCCGTTAACTGAATACAGTACCCATAGTTAAGTCTGATGTTCCCTGAAGCAGTAATTTTACATTGCAGGGTTTATCTAAAATTCAAAGTTAACTGGATTTTTGTTTGCTAAATTTCACAGCCTTGTTCATGCTAAGCAAACAGCTGCCTTTTGTTTTAATTCCAGAGGGTCCCTGCTTCAGCGCCAAAGCTCTGCCATCGGGTAATAAAACTCTGAGTTGTCCCAACTCTGTCCCCCCCCGAGCTTCGTGGTCTGCAAACGCGTAAAAGTAGAACAAGTCTTATAGGGTGACTACTTTGAAGAATAACTCTCATTTGAGCATAGAATTTGATCAAAGTGTTTGGCTATTGACTGTCTCCCTGCCCTAGCTGAGTTGGTTCAAGCCACTACTTTACCACCCTTACAGATTCCTAAGAAATTCCTGGACCCTTACCTTGAATAGCAGCATGGGCCACTGATCCCACCTAGTAATGCACACACGTGAACTCAAATTCCTACTCAAATCACCAAGAAAAAGCAAGCACGCGCATGCGTCCCAGCATGCAAACTTGGGCTTGGAACCCTAGGAATCCAAATGGTTCTTAAAGGACGTGGCTTTCCGTACACTTTTACAGCACCGAATACCAAGGTGCTCAGAAGAAGCTGCGGCCCGATTTGCCACCGAACCTTAGTAAACTAGACTCTGGGGTTTCTCTTCGGTCACGGATGCCGTGCTACAGCTGGTTCCCTCTTCTGCTCAGTATGTGGTCTAAAGCATCTACAGATCCTTCGTGAAATCTCTGGGGTGGACATCTAAAAGTTGATGGGCTTGGCTGGAATGTCAGTGCAAGAAACCAGTACCTTCCCTGCATTTGTCCCCCCCCCCCCAATCTTTACTACACAATAGTAAAGGACACGGAGTCTCTGGTCATTTAGCTCAGGTATTAGAAGGTCAAAGACTTAGGATGAGTCATCAGGGCCAGAGACGTCACTCCTAACGTTCACCAGGCACACTGCAAAGTCCTGCCACTGTACTCCAAAGGGATCCGATAGAAGGATGGATACATAGAGGCATGATGTCCACACTATCCCTGGAAAAACAAATCTGAGTGCGTTTCTCCTAAGAGTGAGGTCAAAACAGATGGCAGGACGTTTCAGATCAGTGAAGCCTATTAGAAGTTTTGATATTTACTGATTTACTCCCCTGTTGTACTTTTATTCATTGAATTAATGAGGGCTGTGGGCGGCACAGCTGATACCTCTCATCTGGACCAAAAGGTCAATTGGGTTTTCCGAGAACCATCAAATGGCCACAGGAGCAGAAGAGAGGTTTGATGAATAATTGTAAAAAAACCAAACCAAACGTGTGTGTGTGTGTGTGTGTGCGCGCACTTTTAAAGTATTTTCATATTTATATGCCATGTTGTCTTTGGATCCTTCAAAGCCTCCCACTTCCTTTTAGGAGATGCCCATGAAAAGTATAATGATAGTGATGAATTATTAAGGAGGATCCAGAGTTAGAACAGAAGGTGAACTTCTGACGGATTTGAAAGGGAGTGTGAACTTAGTTCTAATCACCTTGTTTTCATTGCTTTAATTGTACATGAAAAGGTTCTTCAGTTGGGTTCTTACTCTCAGGTAGTAAGTCCGACTGAGTACCTGGAACATCGCCACAGGCAGGCAGGGTGAGCTGTCAGCGAAACATGAGAACAAAACGTGAGGTCTATTTTCATAGGCCTCACATTTTTATCGATTGGACAGCAGAGCATAGTGCTTAATGATGCAGGCTCTGGAGCTGGACTGCCCTAGTTTGAAGTCTGTCTCTTTCCATTACTAGCTGTAGGACCTTAAGCAAATTACTAATTTTTCCATGGTCACCTCCCTCAGCTGTACAATGGGAATAATCATAACACTGCCTCCCACATCAGCTTGATTTGAAGTTAAGTTAGTTCATTTGTGTAAAGTGCCTAAAGCACTGCTTTGTGCCGAGTAAGGGCTCAATAATTATTAACATCATCATCATGCAAAAATCACAATGATCAATTGTTCATTTGATGTTTTTTTTTTCTTACAGGGATTGCGCAAGGGAAATAAACACACACAGCACACTATGGTAGCTGAAATGTGCTCAGCAGCAACTGCACTAATTTTAAATGATGACTTCTACCAAAATAATTAAGTATCCAAAATTAAATTACAGTCGATGGAAAAGAGATAATGCATTGTCTGAGTTGGTACATTGCCTGTAACTTTTCAAGCATGAAAGATAAACTCTACTCAACTCACAATTATAGCAGAGGCTGAGTATCAAGTGTCCTGACTTGGTAATTGGTAGAATTAAGTTCTTATTCTGGCTTATCCCTGACTCAAGTATCCTGTGTCCTTATTTCTCCGTCTATAATATGAAGACAAAACAAATACACTGGAAGACAAAGGTTCAGCAAAGAAAAAGCAGCACTGATCCCCAGACTGAAGGCAACAAATAGTTCTGATGGTCAATTTCATGGCTGTGATACTAACAAGAGACACCATTCGATTCAAAAACAACTTAGAGGGCTCAGGCAATTACAACTTTCTCTTGTCTACTATCCAGAGATTCCAGATTAATAAATCAAAAATGTCCATGAAGACCTTTGTGCTAGTCATGATCTATGTTTTTCATGTCCCCTTTCATAACACTGACAACAATGAAAACGGGTAATAGTTATTGCATGTTTACTTCTGTGCAGGGCACCGTGCCAAGTCTTTGGGGCCAGATGATCTCTTCGGTGTCTAGTCTTATTCTCAGCACCTGACAGAGATGGGGGGATCCAGAAGATTAAAACATAGCTACTGGCTTGAAATTTGAAGAATTCATATCAATTCCAAAACCTGGGGGGTAGGTTTCTAAGTAATTGCCCATTGTTTGGACTTTGGGCCATGATCCAATGGTCGGTTATGACATTAATACAGATAAGACTATAATTAAAAAAATAAATAAAATAGGAAATATTAGTATGTCAATGTGTTGAAACGTGACTTCATACACACACACATGAAATGTGTATAATAGGTCATGATAAATATATACATATAAGTATATATGTGTGTGTATATATATATATATATATACATAACTGATCTGTTGCTGAAATTTTCTGAAAAATGCTGTTTAGAGGAGTCTTCTGAAAACGCTGCTTTAGAGGAAAGCATAAACTATGGTTGAAATATTTTTTAAACAATTATACTATTTACCTGAGTAAGGTTTTTCATGCTGTTGTTTTTTAAAGGCTCACCCTTTGTTTCTTAAAGGAAAGAATAACAAAACCAATCCCTGGGTTGTCCCTTTTGCAGCTCTCAGCCTCCTTATATCCCTTTCTATCTGGGCCTCACTGTTCCCCAGGCTTTAGGAGGTTGGCTTCGGGACATTTCTCTGACTTGCATTGCTCAGTGTTCTCTAACTCCTCTGCCCTTCTTTTCCTACAACTAAAACACAGCATTCAGCACAGATCCTCAGACAGGGCAAGCATATGTAAGAAATATCTACTGAATTAAGGCTGATAAGGTGACTGCCAGGAAGGGCATAAATAGATTGTGGTTGTGTCAGAGCAATCGCAACAGGCCTATTCAGGAGTAGAGTGCATTCACTAACAGGTAACTGTCAGGTTCAAAGGCCCTTTGTAGAGTCCAAGACTAGTGCTGCAGAAGAGCAGAAGAATCCAGTCCAAAAGCAATTTATTTGAAGACATCCCACCACCCTCGGGCCAAGAGGCATAAAGAGAGGCAAACTCCAGGATAACCACATTCCAGAAAATGCTATGTTCAGGAATTTGAAGATACTTGGGCACTCAAAAGAGCTCCAATCAGAGTCACTCTAAACCTCAGTTCCCAGTCTGTAAAAGAACGGTAGCTAAGTTCAACACATGCTTCCCATTCCTGCTTGAAATTCCTATGAAATCCCAGAAGTGACAGCAAGATGGTTTCCTCCTGGCCTGCACTGACTTTCAAGTGCAGCACTACCTATAATTTTCAGGGACCGGGGAGCACCTCTGAGACACGCAGGCCAATGGGGTGACTCAGTCCCTCTCTAGCCCACACATCCTAGCCACCCAAAATGACAGACCCTCTGTGTACTACCCTGACATGGTCCCAGGTCAGCTATCCAGAAACATCTGAAACAGAAGAGCAAAGACAGAAGATGAGACTTTTGTAAATGAGGGATCTTTAATGAGATAAGCACATGAGCCATGAGCTCCCCACCCCTCAAACCAGGAGACAAGAACAATGCCTGCCATTTACTAAATGCCCTAGATCCATGCCCTTGATCACTTTTTTCAGGCCCTTGATCACTTTTCACCGATTCAGAAAGAGAATCCCAGACAGGGGAAGTATCTTTCCCAAAGTAGCACTGCTGTTAGTCTGGGGCAAGACTCAAATGCAGACCTAACTTTAGCCCCAAGCCCTCTGCACACCATAAGGAAATTGACACTTGCTCATCCCTCCTGCTCAGTTTTTCTTTCAATCTTGCGTTCTGAAGTTCATGACTATGAACTGACAAGGATAATCCTATAGGACAGTCAGGCATTTTCCAAAATTTGTCAGGTAATCACTACTTCTCTAATTTATTGGAGAACAAGAGTTCCAAGATACATTGGAACCAAGAGAGGCTCACTAGTTTTGTAATGAAAATTTTTTTTAAGTTTATTTATTTATTTTGAGAGAGGTAGAGAGAAAAGTAGGGGAGGGACAAAGAGAAAGGGAGAAAGAGAATCGCAAGCAAGCTCCATACTGGCCGCACAGAGACCCATGCGGGGCTCGATCTCGCAAACCGTGAGATCATGACCTGAGCTGAAACCAAAAGTCGGATGCTTAACTGACTGAGCCACCCAGGTGCCCTCGTAATGAATTAAAAAAAAAAAAAATTCCAAAGTTGTGGAAGGAAATTAAAACGAACGTCTAAACCTGACTCTGAAAGGAAGGAAAAAGAGATGTATCCCACAATTAGAGTAAGAAGTAGCAATAACCCACACCCTAAGGAAAATTAAGAGAGAAGAAGGACCCCCCCCACCCCCAGTCTTCAGTATGTGTCAGGAGTCTTCATTCCAGCTCCTAGTAAGAGTCACACTGGAGATTGGTGCTTCTCTGCTAAGGACCTCAGAGGTTAATAAAAACAGGACAGAGTTAATTTATTCACACACTAAGCAAACATTTGCTGAGCACCTGTTGCATGTCAGGCACTGTGCTAGGGCCAGGGGAGTTTAGACCATGGGGGGAGAAGGGGTAAAAGCCTTCCCAGCAGTCCACACTACTGGAGAAACAGAGGCCATGGAATTGCTGTATTTATTTGAAACCTAAAACTTCCTTTGCAGAAAGGCATCCTCATCATGGGGATCTCGGCCCAGGCTTCCTTTGGGAAAATCCCTCTACAAAAGCAGAACTTGGAAAAGAGCCCTGCCTTACCCTGCTGATGGCTTCAACTCTCAGGATAAGCTACTCTTGGACTTCAGTGCTGATCGAGGAAGCGGTGATAAGCCAAGAGGAGTTAATGGTTTGAACCTTGGAAGAACCTAATAGCTGAGGAATCAATTCTGAGCATAATCTAAGATGCAGGCTTGGGGCGCCTGGGTGGCTCTGTCTGTTAAGTGACTTTGGCTCAGTTCACGATCTCAAGGTTCCGGAGTTTGAACCTCGTGTTGGGCTCTGTGCTGACAGCTCAGAACCTGGAGTCTGCTTTGGATTCTGTGTCTGTGTCTCCCCCTCTCTCTGCCCCTCCCCACCCTCTCTGTCTCAAAAATACATAAACATTAAAAAATGTTAATGTATGCTGGTCTTCAGAAAAGAAAACCTTAAAATGGTAAACAAGCCACAGAACAGAAAAGCAAAAACAGTTTGAGTCGATGGTGAGGGCCGATAAAAAGAAATGAAATATAAAGATATTGTTGGAGGGAGGGGCAAAAAATGAAATTCTGACTAGACATCGGTCATCTCACAAATGGAAAAAAAAGGTAAGCAATTTAACGTAAAAATAACATACAATTAAACACAACTTGGAAACCTGAATTGAATATGGATTGAAATGGATAAAGACATTAGTGGAAAATATCATGAAATCAAATAATGACTTTAGTTTATATATAGTTAATAGTTTTATATATATATAGTTAATAATACTATACCTATGTTAATTTCTTAGTTCACATGATATACTTATCACAACGCAAACACAAATGTGAAATGTTAACATTCAGGGAAGCCAGACAAAGGCCCCATATGGGAACTTCTGTCTTACTTTCCAATTCTTCTGTAAATCTACAATTTTATTGTAAAGTTTAAAAAAATAATGTTTATTTATTTTGACAGAGCAAATGGGGAAGGGGCAAAGAGAGAGGGAGAGAGAGAGAATCCCAAGCAGGCTCCACACTGTCAGCTCAGAGCCGGATGCGGGGTTTGAACTCCTGAACCATGAGATCATGACCTGAGCTGAAATCAAGAGTCGGACACTTAACCAACTGAGCCACCCAGGAGGCCCATCAAAGTAAAAGAGTTTCTAAAACCTGCTGCACAAGACACTCTCAGATGACCTCTGATGTTGAAACATGAAGACAGAAGGGGCAGATAACTAAGAAATGCAACACGGACCAGCCAAGAGCCGTGAGTGCCTACAGCCAGCCCCCCAGCCCCCACTCCAGGTCAAAAGAAGTCAATGAAACCATGGGTCACATCAATAGAACAAATGTGACATCCACGACAAGTAGTAATAACAACACTGTGCTAGTTCGAACCACATGTGGAAGATTTCATCCCCTTCTGGGTAGAACATTCTAGAGAGGTTTTTGTATTTGCAGTATTTGTAGAGAGAGAGAGAGAGAGAGCAGTCTCTTCTAAGTGAGAGTTGGAAGAATGGGGAAGAACGAGACAGAGCAAGAGATCTGGACCCAGACAGTGTGAGGCCCTCCATAGGCAGCTCAAAGGACTGTCCCACATCAGGGAGACTGGCTGATTTTGTTCCTACAAACTCCATTCTTCTTGAGAGCTTGCTTCCAGGCCACTGGCAAAGCTGGACCAGGATAAAAGGAGCTTTTCTGGCCACACTAGAAAAGAGATCCAGCAGCTAAGTGTCTCCAAATTTGGTGTCCCTTTTTGGCTGCAAATATGTCACAGGCTCTTGTGTAAGTCAGAACAGTTCACATCATAAAACCATAGATTCTAGAATCCTAGATTTAAACAGCCCTAAAGGTCACTGGCCTTGTCTTCCACCCACTGCAATTAAAATGTTGAGACGCAGGCCTTTTCCCTTCTCATAAAGAGTCTAGTCTGTACCTACTGTTGGACACCAAAATCTGTCATCTTGCCCCCACATAATGGGTAAGACTCGCCTGTTATTGCTTGGCCTTATTTTCACAAAACTAAATGTACAGAGTGTCTTTAGCTACCTATGGTTTAGTAAGCTCATCACTATCCTCCAGACTCGCTCTAGTTTGTCAGTGGCGTCCTAAAAGGTGTCACTTAAAATTAGACCAAATACACTAAATGTGCCCTAAGGAATGCAGACGTGGTGTTCCAGTTACATGTTAGGGACGGGATAGGTCCATTAAGACAGCATTCCTTGGGGCTCCCGCTGACTTCATGGCCAAGCAGACCCCATGGGGCACTCTATCACAACAGGTGCCATGCCCTATACTCACCAGTGAATTCTGGAGCCCAATGGTTAAATTTCGTCTTGCTGACTTTGTGCTCTTCTGTGAGCCTGTCAAAATATTTTGGAGCACCGAGAGCATCAGCCGCCACACCAGCCTTCCCTGCCAGCTTTGTGTCATCTGCAGATCGAAAAAAACCTGCCTTCTGCATCTTCATCCAAGTCATCGATAAAAACGTTAAAGATGACAGCCCATTCGATCATTCGCTCACCAAATATTTATCAAGCACCCACAATACGTAGAGCACTTAGGACAGAAATGAGAGGAGGAATTGTATTTGCACCAGGATACCTTCTAGAATGGTTTGCTCTCTCTGAACCTCTAATAGGAGGTGGACTTCTTTTCCCGAAGCTTAGAAGCTTGTCCTGTTAGTGAGGCAGGATTTGACACACAAAATATTTTGTTTTAAAATTATTTTTAACATTTATTTATTTTTGAGAGACAGAGAGATAGAGCACAAGCAGGGGAGGAGCAGAGAGAGAGGGAGACACAGAATCCGAAGCAGGCTCTAGGCTCTGAGCTGTCTGCACAGAGCCCGACACGGGGCTTGAACCCACAGACCATGGACCATGACCTGAGCCAAAGCTGGAAGTTCAACTGACTGAGCCACTCAGGCGCCCTGGCACACAAAACATTTTGTGATATAAGGTAAGCAATGTTTATATAATTGACAAATGAATGCTACAGAAAATACAGAAACTAGATTCTGATTGTGACTTTAATGTCATTTTGCTTATAGCTGCAAAGCAATGATAGATTTTCAAGCTGAAAGGAATGACAGAAGTCTCTCAGAACCACTCTCTTCCCCACCACACCGATAATTGTTTCAACAAGTGTGTGTGGGGGGGTGTCTATCTGTTGAGTAGTCTGACTCTTTGTTAGCTCTAATAATTAGAATGACATTCTAATAGTCCCAATGTGGAGTCCAAATTGCTTGCCTTTACCTATCCATCTATAACGCAAGTACTCAGTGATTTGGTCAAATAATTAGTCTCATTCTGCTCTCTGACGTTAGAAATAGGTCTGATCCACCCACTGAAGGCAGCAGTTATGCCTTTATGTAGTCTTCATTTTTCTAGCCTAAATATATTAATTTCTTCATCTGACATCGTTTTGAGATCTCCCCACCCCCGCGCCATTCTTACCATTCACATCAGGACTCCTTCCCCGGCATAAGGCCAACACTTAGGATACACCTACTGAATGGATCTGCACACAAGTGAACCAGAAAGCTCTACATTGTCATTATCAGCTTCAAAAGAAAACGCTCAGAACTGAACATACTGCTGAAAGTGCGGTGCAAAAAGTGGACATCTTACAGTTCCCGTGCTCTGGAAGTTATATTTCTATTAACACTGCTCAGATCCGGCTTTTTCTTTTTGTCTTTGTGCAGGGATACGGGCTGGGGGAAGGGGGGACGGTACCTTAATGCCTCCTACTAAGTCTGGAGCCAGTTAAAATCTGTGTGTCTTTTACACGGCCAACTGGATAAATTCATGGTTGAGCCCCACACCATCATGTAGCAAGAAAGGCCTGACCACAGCATTTCTTTCCACGTGAGAAGAAGGGTATGTCCCGCTGGATGTGCCTGTCTTTTGTAAGTCACACTGGCACTCTGATCACCATGGCACCTAAGCCCTTTGGGAATCTGCAGAGTTTGCAATATTCTGGGAAGGAGGCCTAAGTGGGTGGGCACAGCAAGGCTCTGAAGGGGTAACAGCGGGTGAGCTGACCTTCGTATACCAAGTGGAGGCCACGAAGCTTGGTTCAGCCGGGGCCCAATTAGCCCAGAGGAGACACTCAAAATGTCCGTGGCGGTGTTCCTGAGAAGGAGGAATTGCCTTCAAATTAAAACACATCCAGGAAAACTTAAGACTGGCAAGCCCAGTAGGAGTGGGGTTGTCCTGGTGCTGGCTTACGTAAGGCGGCAAGCAGAGCCCGGCGAGAAGAGCCAACTGGGAGGTACGGGAAGCAGACACATCGCTATGAGGATCCCAGGCGGGCAGGCATTTGTTAAGGACCAGCATCTACCACACATCAGACGTTTGGTGCGCCTTCTCTCTCATTCCCCCCAAACAGCGCTATCAGTTAGGCATGATTATCACCACTTTACAGCTGTGGAAACTGAGGCTTAGAGAGGTTTAGAAAGTTGTCCCGAGTCACATTGCTCTCCGTGGGGCAGCCAGGAGGAGGCCCCCACCTGTCCCCATAGCCCGGGAACTTGAGCATCCTGCTGCAGGGCTTTTGTTTCATGAGTTCCTCCCTTCCTTCACAAAGATCTCTATCGAGCACCCTCAGTGTTGCGGGCCTGTGCTAAGCCCTGGGGACACAGTGGTAAAAAGACACATGCTGTCCCTCCTGGGGCTTAGCCCTTGGCAAGAGCAACAACCAGCCAACGGGCAACTTCAGTAAAGTAAGATCCGTAGCCCCGTAGGAGAAGTTAAGGGTAAACTCACCCGCAGGAGGGATTAGGGGTCTTCCTCGGCCCTAAGAGAGAAGCTGAAAGAACGTGCCAGGAAGACCCCAAAGTGTGGGACTGAGGCAGAGAGGGAATGAAAACTCAAGGCATGGAGGTGAGTGCTACAGACACCGATGTGCTAGAGGCCAGCAAAGTCCAGATGAAGAGCTGGAGGTCTTCAAGGACCCTGAGAGCCTGAAGAGGTGTGCTGTGTGAGGTTACAGCCACGTTCGGGGGACTGGAATTGCACTGGGATCGGCAAAAAAGAATTAGGAATTAATAAAGCCATGTGTCTCTCACTGATTTGAAGAAGGGGGGGTGGCCAAGCCAGACAAATGCCGCCCTGGGGGGACACAGGCTCAGCTTGGACACTTTTAATTCAATTTCTCTGGCCTCCTCAAACAATCTCTGGACCTCTCCTATCCCCTCTCCCCCACTCCCACCCCCGACCGCCAAGGCAGGAAGGGTGGGGGTTGGGCTGTGGTACAGACACATTCTAGATCCTTTCTCTGCGTGACACATGGAGCCTCAGATAGATTCCAGCTTTTGCACTTGACAGATGAGGAAACAGAGGCTTAGAGCAGCTCAGTGATTACCTCAGGCTGAATTGCTGGCCACTTCATCACGCCCTTTAACGGTATTACAGAACTATACCGGCGGAGGGATCTGAGGTGTGTGCAGGAAACTCCCCCCCACCCCCCGGACTTTGGGCTTGAGCTTTTTTTTTTTAGGTTTTAAAAAAATGTTTGCTTTATTTTGAGAGAGACAGAGACAGCATGAGCAGGGGAGGGGAAGAGAGAGAGTGGGAGAGAGAGAGAATCCCAAGCAGGCTATGCCCTGTGAGCTGCAGAGCTCAATGCTGGGCTCGAACCCATGAACTGTGAGATCATGACCTCAGCTGAAACCAAGTCAGAAGCTTGAACTACTGCGTCACTTGGGCGCCCTTGGGCTGAAGCTTTGAATTTGCTTCATTAGCAGATACGGTATGAAGAGAAGCTGGAGATGCCCCAGTAGGGCTCCGCGTGCCTCCTTGCACTGTTGTCATTGCCAAGGGAAGACCACGCCCCGGACCTGCTGCTTCTCAAGCATGTCCGTGAATCAAGGAGAACCGACTCAAGGCTGGTCTGCAGCCTACAGCTGAGCTCAGCAACTTCCAGGCAACCTGCAGGTGCTCAGCCTGAAGCAGAGTCACTCCCCTTAACCTAGAGGCTTGTGAACACAGCACTAAGTATTTACATTTGTAATGCATGGAATTGGGGGTAGTTGTTACACAGCATCATGATGCCAAATCCTGACCCGTAAGAGATCACGCCAACCTTACAAAGGTAACTGTCCAGAATGCACAGACCTGCTTTGCCGTGGAGCTGGGCTGCCCCAGCAGCTGGTCCTCTAAGGAAAAAGTCATGCAGCCCTTCGGCCCACCTCCCTACCCCACGCTCCACGTCCCTGCCCACCGCACGCGCGGGGCACTCACCTGAGTCTGACGCTGCCGGGCTCACCAGGCTCAGTAGCTCCCGCTCCTTCTCATAGTCCCCTTTTCAGAGGAGCTGCCCCTCCTTCAGGACAAACTCATCGCCCTTCTGGAGCTGTCGCTCACAGACACAGCAGCAGAAGCAGCTCAGGTGGTACACGCTCTTCTGGGCCCGCATGACGAACTCATTGGGCGCGATGGCCTCGAAGCAGCCCCCGCATTTGACAGCAAACAGCCTAGCAGTGGGGAAGAAAGGGAAGTAGGGGCGTTGAGAAAGCTCAGATTGGAGCCAGCTGGCCTCAGGTCAACAGCACACGAGGCTCCGAGCCCTGGGGTGAGGATGTTTTGGAACAAAATACACTCAAAATCCACATGATGGATTCCCTGAGGAGGCCTGAACCAAGGGATTCAGTTGAGTGCCTCCCAAAGGCTTACAACAAGCAGGGGCAGGGGTGCTGGAGACAGGCTGAGCTAATGCCCGGGGTGCAAATGGGGTGATCTAGACACGGGGCTCCTGAAGGGTGGTCTACATATGGGTACCAGGGAGCTGCCCAGAATCCCTGGGGAGTGACACAAATGTCCTGGCCCACTCCCATCAGTATGCAAAAAGGGGAGGCCCAGAATGTGAATCTGAGCAGGCTTGCCAGGGGAAGCGGACGTGTTAGCTGGTTTCTGCGAGAGAGACTGCATCCTAGCTTCCCGGCATGGGGTCGATGGATGCAGCCTCTCTCTCGGAGCTTAATTCTTACTTCACTTCAGTTAATTTCAACAAGCCACAGAGAAGGCATCTGTCTATGCCGAACCAAAGCAGGAGGGACTGGTGATGTGAAGACGAATAAAAGAAAATCCCTTTCAGAAATGAGCTCAGTCTAATGGATGAGACGAGACACATCCAAATGATGGCAGCGGGGACACGGAGGAGGAAACAAGGAGGGCTCGGGGACGTCTAGAGCGATCTGCATTGTAGCAGGAGGTCAGTGCATCTTGGTGAAAGGAAAGACAGGAAGGCGGGCAGGTGGACGGCATAAAGGGGTGGGGAGGAGGGGACCCCCCCACCGTGTGAAGGTCCGAAGTCGCAGCCATGCCCGGGTGTGCTCCAGGAGGTGGGGCGCCCCAGGCAGGGTGGCAGGCGAGGCCAGTCGTGACCGGTCACACTTGGGCTGGACAGCATGTGGCGAGCAATGGGGAGTCGTTGAACAATGGTTAACACGGCTAAGAGCCCTGTTTAGGAAAAGGAACTCTTCGTGGTGCCAAGGGTAGAGCGACAAGGGTCACTGATACGGCAGTAGCAGGGAGCCAGAGAGGAGGGGTCGGAGCCTTCCATTTGGAGACGGGGGAGCCCCTGGGCTCCTGGTGGTCGAGATGGAGGAGGATGAGGATGATGATGCCCCCACCCCTGCAAACACACCGTGTCTGATTCCCTGCTCTGGGCGTATTTACACCATTCTGCCCTTCTGCAATGTCCCCCCCACCCCTTCTCTGGTTGATCTAACCAAATCCAACCTGCCCTTCAGGACAAGGCACCTGCCACCTGCTTGAATCCAGACAACCTCTCCTGCCTCAGTCTGAAGGAACTGACCCTCCTTGGAACATCTTTACATGAACTGTCTGCGCCCGTCGCTCAGTCATTCCCTGGAGAAGTTTCAAGACGCAAAAAGCAGCAAGGTCCAGAGGGCTGGGCTCTGTTACCAGCTACGCCTACAACTGCCTGCACCACTATGGGCCGGCCATTCTTCCCCTTTGCACTCTTTTCCTGGCTGTCGCTAAGAAGTCAAGCCAACCTCCTCCAGCTCCCAAAGTCTTCCTGGGATTGCTTCCTACTGCTAACTTGAAATATTTTAATCTTGCCTTATCTATGCGATTTTCCTATGCGTACAACTTCTCATGCCAATAGCCTGTCGTTGAAGAACCAGGCCTATGGAATACAGCCCACAACCTCTTGCACATGGTGGAGACTTCATGAAAGTGGATTTTATTTGTCCCATGATCTAACTGGTTCACCTAAAATAACACGTGGAAAGAGCCTCACATAGGAGCTGCCGCACAGCGGGTCCCCATAAAAGTAACTTGTTTCCTAGACTCCCCCCAAGACTAGTAATAGTTCAGGGCGGTCTGGGACAGACTAAAATGAACAGCAGATCTAGTTCTTTTTCTTTTTTTAAATTGCCTCAGGATAACATAATTGCCTTCATCAACATCTTTGGCAAAGCACAGAGATAATATACCCTAAAAATATCTCGGGGATTGATTCATTATGGCACTCATTTTTGCATCTCCAAAATAAACAGTTTTTTTTTTTTTTAAGGCACTAGCACAACGGGGGGAAAAGAATCTCTCTCAAAAGAGTCTCTGTTTGTCCTCAAATACCAGCAAGGTCAGCAGACACGGACAGTTCAGATGGTGTGGGGCGGCGATGGCGGCAGGGAGGTGGAATGGCCAGAGTGCATAAAAACCCCACACCCCTCCTCTCTTTGTGAAGATGAGATGCAGTGGACTCAGAGCACATCCAGGTGGCCGATGCCACTGTGTTGTGCCAATAAGCCTGATGCCGGCAGCAGCTGAGGAAGATGAATAACAGAAGGGCATCTTCCTATAGACAGGCCAATCACCATCATGGCTTCAGCATGGCCAATCCCAACTCAAAAGCTCATTCCCACCTTCAGTCACTCATTCAGTCTTTTTTTTTTTCTTCATTCATTTCAAAAGTTCATTCATACATTCATTTGCTCGTCTACGCTTCTTTTCATTCATTCATTCAGAAGTACCTACCGTGCACTAACACCTCGCACTGTCTGTCTTTTTTTTTTTTTTAATATTTTTTTTATTTATTGCTAGGAGAGAGAGAGACAGCGTGAACAGGGGAGAGTCAGAGAGAGAGGGAGTCACAGACTGAAACAGGCTCCAGGCTCTGAGCTGGCAGTCAGCACAGAGCCCGACGCGGGGCTCGAACCCACGAACCGCGAGATCATGACCCAAGCGAAAGTCGGACGCTTAACCGACTAAGCCACCCAGGCGCCCCTCGCACTGTCTGTCTTAACTGGGAGGGGAAGAAAGCACCATCTGGGGAAGCATTCATGGACATAAACAAGTCTACATGGAGTGTCTGTTAGGCGTGGGCCATCACTGTCGGCACAAAACTATACAAAGTCCCCAACCCGATGGAGCCAGCAAACAAACAAACAAACAAAACTCAAATACTGTCTACCCATAAAGAATTACCTGTGGGAAACCAGAAACGCAAACAGTACAAGGCAATGTCCAGGGAACAGAAGACAGAATGGCATAAAGCCGTCGTTTGCTGGTAATACAATCACTTCCCAGCTCTAAAGCTGTACTGGTGTATGATGCAAAGTCTATGCATGTGGATGGAGTATCTGTCTTGGAAGCTTCTCGGAGGAAGCGAATAGTTTTGAGGGCAGAGAGGAAGTGAAGGAGGGGTTCCCAAAGAGGCACTGCACACGGATTGGCAAAAGAAAAATGGAGGCCGTTCAGATTCTTCAGGTGAAGGAAGCCAGGGCTTGGAGAGGAGAATGAAGTTGCCTTTCGTGACCCCATGATGGAGCAGCTTCCCAGGACGGAAGCCAGGCAGCAGGTGATTCTAGCACAGCGCATGATCAGGAAGGCGTGAGCTCGCTCACTCTCTCAGCCCAGGCCTTGGGCTACCACAGCGGCCCCCTACGCCCTCCTTTGGCCATCAAGAACACCTTAGAAACACCCATCCTGCTACGCCTGCCCTCCGCCTCTCAACTTCCAAGTGGCTGGTGTGGCTCCTTTCCCCCTGACGATGGGCCGGAACCATAATTCCAGATGCCACCAGCCCTGCCTTTTCCTTCTCCATGCCAGTCCCTTAAACATTTGCTTTTACTTCCCTGCCTCCACGCTGGATGCCATGCCTCGGGCAGAAAATCACCCAGTTCAGCCCTGACCCCTAGTCCTGAGTCACTGTTTGCCAACCTGAGCAAACTAATCAATGCTTTTCCAGAAGCCAGTCAAAGGCCCTTTGTCCCCGAAGCCTTCCTTCTCCTCCCCTTCCCCGGGAATGAACTGTTAAACAGACTCAAGGCGAACGCTCCCTGGGAATCAACAAGCACTTGAGAATCTGCGGCCACAGGTGGTAGCATCTGTGCTTGTCCAACTTCGACCCTGTCAATCTCCTCCCCTGTCTCCGCCCTTCTTAATTTCAGCCCCTGCTCTAAAAATCTCCCCCAAGTCGGAGGAGGGAGGGTCAGGGTGAGCTCAACAAAGGAAGCCGGCCATGTTGACTCAGGAGCGGCTGGAGTGGTCTGGGCTCCAACCCTGAAATGGTCACGGTCAGTGGGGATGATGGACCGGGAAGAGGGGGGGCAGCCCCGTTTCTCTCCCTTCTCTCCACCCAGCTCCCCCCACCCCCGGCAAAGACCAGGTCAAGCTCACCTCACTACCTTGGCTCTTGTGCCCTGCCCCCACTCACCCCAGAGCAATTCAAGGAGAAGAGGCACATGCAGTCCACCACCTGTGTGCCAGATGTGTACACAGCTGTACGGGCACCACTGTGGACCCAGCTGCCGACGACACACTTCCCACAAGTTGTTTTCTCTAAGGCTCAGACAAGCAGAGAAAAGGATTTGTTCAAAAGTCCAGGTCGTAATTAAAACACAGCCGGTCTCGTCCCAATGCCCTGGATGGCGTCCCCCATGGTCACTTCCCCCTCTGCATGCTAATGAGACCTCGCTCTGGGTTCAGAGCCTGGCAGACCGGCTGTGCCCTTGGAAAGCTAGACAAGGTTTCCAGAGACATCTAGGTCTTTCGGGCACACATAATAACTCCCAGCTTATCCTACCATTATGAATTCTCGTACCCCTGAAAACCCCTCGAGTAAGTCCTCATCTCCCCTTTGCAGCATCTAATTCCCTCACCTATGAAAGGGGAACAGTACCCTAGAGCTCATGAAAAAGCACCCAGTGCCTGTCCCAGAGACTAAGCTCTGGTTCAGCGCTCTTCTCCTGCTGGTTAATGCCCTTGGCACGGAGGCGCTGGGGATGTGGCGATGGACAGGGCTGTCCTGGCCTCAGGGAGCTCCCCTTCTCCAGCAGGCAGCAGGCTCTAAACCAAGACCACAGTGCCGTGTATTCTGAGTACACGGGACTGAAAGAGCCAGAGTGGCACGGAAGAGAGACCCACCCACTTGGCTTACGAGGGCACGGAATCTTTGGTCTTGCCCTCCCTCTGCCCCTTCTCTTCCTCCCGCTGGCACTTT